TAACAATAATTTCTTATATGAACTGGCACTTTACAGTTTTCAGGTTTTTTTTTTTCCCCCCTACATCCGTTCATACGAGCTAGGTAAGGCAGATATTATTATTTTCTTTGTTGGTGAAAAAGCAGTGTCAGAAAGGCAAACTGATATACTTAAAAGGTCACATACCTGTAGATTACAGAGTTGGAAATAACGCAGGTCTCCAGACACTCGGTCCCCAATTAATTTCAGATTCCCAGGGGCGCTTTCCCCATACCACCCACCCATGGGCAAACTGCAAATCCTATCTGGCATTGTTCTATAGGTAGAAGATGTATAAAGAGTTTGAGCGATTTTCAAAGTAGTGTATTTTTCAATGAGATTTAATATTAAAATACAGAGGCATTAAATCAAGTGACTCTTTTCATTGTATGTGTCAACTTTGTGGTGAGAGCAGTGCAAAATGCACTCTCACTTCCTTACTTTTTACCAAGGCAGCAAAATTATGTGTGTGCCAGTTTCCATAAGCAAAATCGTTTCATCCTCAGAAAGCATTCATTCATGGCACACAGTGTTTTAAAATGTTTCCTGCCTAGATCAGCTGGTCCTACTCTATCTTTTGTCTTATTCAAACATAGCATTAACCAGTCAGTTTTAGACTGTGGGTTATGATTTCTTCTCCCTGATCTCTCGTCAGATTTGAGTTGTCAAAAACAGGCTTCAAGTGGGTTGAGAGCTGCTCTCAACTCTAAGACAGTTTTACTTATTAGAGCAGAGCTTTTGTTTTCTGCAGAGATTCCTACAGCTATTCTTAGTTCAGCGTGGAGTGAACAATATTCTGAGACTCTAGGTCATGGATCAGAGCACGAAGGCTTTGCAAAAACCTGTTTCTATAAAGAATTATGGCTGTTGAGAAGGAACCAGGAGGAAGTGAGGGAAACAGAGCACTCACTTCGGGGAATCGGTGCAGGGCCAATTCCAACACTGGCAGAAATATAACTGCTCAGCCCAGTTGAAGGACTTGGCAATTTAAAGACTCCAATCTCTCTAGGGTAGGAGGGACCTGGAAGAGAGCCTGTGTTCCTTGGTCAGGCTGGCCAAATGCTGTCATTTCCCTCCATCTGCTTTGTACTATATTCTATTTTTTTTTCCCCGACAGCCAAAATTATACTTACTAGGCACATGACTTGGACAGGGAAGTTCTGAGTCTCAAAAGAGTGGAGAGCAGAAAAATCAACAAAGGAAGAGAGAGGGGTAAACTTGGGGTGGCACATCATGGTCCTCAGTGAAAAGGAGGGGTCCCACTGCAGGCAGCCTGCAAGATGAGCTTTTTAATTCTACTTTTACCTTTCCTAAGAATATGAGCTCACAGATTTGAAATTATTAAATTATTAAATAAGAATATGGTTTATAGTTGCAATTAACACAGGTGATGAACAATAATGTGGAGATGCAGAGAAGGGGAAAAATGTAAAAATGTAAAAAACTGTTTCCAGGAAACATGTATCAACTAAAACTCTGAATGTGTGATAGACATACCACTGTGACGTGTGAAAAAAGTGAGACTACTGAGCAGAGATAAAGAGCACACAGTTAATTTGAAATTTGCTGGACTTGTTTCTCATTTTCTACAAAGTGAGCTTGAAATCGCTAGTCTTTAATGTGCTCAGTGAATTTCTAAGCATGAGATACAATCTGCAACAGATGATGCTACCTTACCATTATCTCTTTCCATGGATTCCTTTTCCCTTCAGGAGCAGCTCATACGATCATGGGAAATGTTCAACTAGAAAATATCTTTAAGTACCTTCCAGCCCTACTACTATGATTTTAGAAGTAATCCAGATTTTTAAAGACACATTAGTATATTAAAGAAAAATATTCTTTCAGGCTCCCACTTAAAAACAAATCTTATAGGTACTGATTAAACCACGTACTATATGGAACTAACTGAGACTAGTAAAGTTGAGATTAAGGTGTACAAGCTGCTGTCCATATTAGCTGATCATAGTTCCAAAATTCATAATTTACTGCTCAGCCCAATGAGCTCATTTGTCACCTTAATGTATTTCTGTGACTTAGTCCAATTTTATGAAAAAATTATTTTTCTCTTTTGTCAAATGTGCTTTATAGATAAAGTAGACACTCTTTTCTCAATGAAATGCAGAAAATGACAGAAAGATAATGCACTTTTGTAAATGAGATACAAACTGACTCATAGAATTGGAAGGCTGGCCAGGATGCAAGAAATGTCTGTATATACACACATGTTTAACTATAAACAAGATTTTTTAAAAGTCATCTCAGAAACAGATCCTATGGTGACTTTCTTAAAAAGAGCGTAGAAGGCAAAGGACAAAAGTCACCTATAAAAGCACAGACCATCATTAATATTTATGGCTGTATTGGCTGTTCTAGGTAAATACTAAGCAAATGCCTGGCTGTGTCTTGAAGTTACCTATGGAATATTATAAAATGCAGGTGCCTGGGCCCCATTCCAGGAAATTCTAATCCAGTAAGCGTGGAGCTGAATGCAGCTCTCTGTATTTTGTCAAGGTCCAAAGGTGATTTTGATGTGTAGTAAAGATTAAGGTTCGCTGTACGCCCTGCAGGATGTGGTGGGTATTATGGTACACTGAGCAGATGCTCTCTCTCATTGTGGGACTGAGACAGCCATTACCTCAGCCACTGTGAGCGTAGGCCCCTGGCTACTCACTCACAGTGAAGTCCTTCTTCAGGAATTGTCCTCCATAGGTCAAAGGGACCTACCTCAGCCAAGGTCATGCCCTTTTCCTGGAGTCAGCCTGCCTCCAGTAACCAGTCAATGTGAGGAGGGGACAACAAAAGCCCAGCCCTCTTGCCCCTCTTACTTTAATTTGGGGCAAACCTGAAAGGGTCTTTAATTCTAATCATCAGTGAATCAGAGTTATGTGATAAGGGAGTGACATTGGAGTGGAAATCAAAGACTTGAGCTCAAAGCCTTTCGCCTGTTGGTGTTAGAGCCCTTAACAAGGCAGACCACCTCTTGAATCTCAGTTTTTAACTCCAAAAATGGGGACAGCAACAACAATAACAACAAAAACTATATGGTCTACTTTCAAGGGTAGTGAGAAAATTAAGTAAGAATCTGTAGATATAAACTGTGAATCATATAAAGTGCTCATAGTTAGTCATAAAATGTCCTTAGGTCTAAAAATCCCCACATATTATGTGAAAAGAAAAAAAAAAAAGATTTTAAAGTACCACATGACACTGAAAGTCAAAAAATGTTTTAATCCCCAAATGTGTATGTATTTAACATTCTCCACTGCATTTGTTCAGTGAATTCAAACAATATAATGTAATGGTTTCATTTGTTTGTTAGGCTGCTTTTAACACTGAGCTAAATAAAATAAGCCATAAAAAGAGGTAGTCGTGGGTGCCAAGATAATTCAGCAGAAAAAGAAGAGTCTTTTCAATAAATGAACAACTGGATATACACATGCAAAAGAATGAAGTTGGACTTCTACCTCATATCATATACTAAGAACTCGAAATGAGTCAAAGACCTAAGTGTTAGAGCTAAAACTATAAAGTTCTTAGAAGAAAAGAGGAGTGAATCTTCATGATTTTGGATTAGGCAGCTATAACACCAAAGCACAAGCAATAAAAGAAAAAATAGACAAATTGGACTTTACCAAAATTAAAAACTTTTGTGTTTCAAAGGACACTATCAAGAAAGAAAAAAGAACACACACTGAATGGAAGAAGATATTTGAAAATCAAAAATCTGATATGCAACTTATTTCCACACTATATAAAGAAAGCTTACGACTAAACAATAAAAGGACAACCTAACTGAAAAATGGACAAGAGATTTGAATGGACATTTCTCCGAAGGTAACACAGGAATGACTAATAACCAAACAGAAAAAATCCTCACCATCAGGAGTCATTAGGGAAATTCAAATTAAAACCTCAACGAGATACCATTTCACACCTATCTGAATGGCTATAATAAAAAAGAGATAAATATTGGCAATGATGTAGAGAAATTGAAGCCATCATATAGTATGGGAATGTAAAATGGTATAGCCACTTTCGAAAACATCCTGGCAGTTCCTCAAAATGTTAAACAAATGACCATGTAATCCAGTAATTCTACCCCTAGAGTAATGAAACCATGTCTGCATAAAAACTAACTCAGAATGTTTACAGCAGCATTATTCATATAGCCAAAAAGTGGAAAGAACTCAAACATCCACCAACCTGATGAATGGATAAATAAAATGTAGTATATCTTGATAATAGAATATTATCTGACAATAAAAATAAATGAAATACTGACACCTTCTATAACATAGGTGAACTTTGAGAACATTAAGCGAAAAAGGCAGTCACAAAAGAACATATAGTATATGATTCCATTTGTATGAAATGCTCAGATTAGGCATATCTTGCAGAAAAGAAAGTAGATTAGTGGTTGCCATGGGGGGGATTGGGTAGTGACTAAGGTATGGATTTCTTTCTGGGGTAATGAAAATGTTCTAAAATTGATTAGGTGATGGTTGCACAGCTCTGGGAATATACTAAAAATCACTGAATTGTACACTTTAAGTGGGTAGATTCTATGGAATATAAGTTATATCTTAATAAAAGTGTTATTAAAGAAATAATCCCATTAGCTAAAGAAATAAGACAGATGGTAACAAGAAGTTAAATATAACCCATGAAAAAACATTATTACTCTTTTGCTTTGGTTTTTAAGTGAACACAGCTCAATGTCTGCTATGAAGTAAATCAAATCACAATTCTCCATGGGAAAGAAACTGGCCAGGAAAAAATGACTGTGCCCTCAAAAATGGACTCAAAAATTCTCAGCAACTGACTCACATTTAAGGCATCAATAACCTATTGCCAGCTGAACCAAATCATGCCTACTAAGAAAAGACAGTATTTAAAAAGTGGGCCTTTCAAAGTCATTTTAGCAGTAAACTCAAGAACATGTGCAGTCACGACTCCTACCAAAATGTCAAAAACTTTACCTGTGAGCCTTCAGTATCCTCTGGGCAATGGCATCACCTATCTTATTGAACACAACCTTGTCATCGGCGCAGCTTATAAAAAACTGGTTCTATGAGAAATGAATAGGATAATCACATAAGTCTTTGTTATCTTACTAGTATGTAAGGAAAATGTGGTATATAACAAAATCTACTTTGATATTTTAAAAAAGTGTTTTACATAGCAGACATGTTCTGATCCCTGAAATCACCTACTAAATAAATGACAGTGAGAATAAAAGAAGCCTCATCTCACTCTGGATTTCATGCATTCCCAGGTAATAATAGGTATAACATCTTCGTGAAGTATAGGCTAAACTATTATTTCATCTTGCAAATTCCTTGTAGGGTACATTCTTAAAATGGTAAGAACATTCCCAATTTTATCAATAGGAAAATCATATTTTTTTTCAGACTCATACATTGTGTAAATGCTTATGATTAAAAATTCTATATTGGCAAACATTCTATCTCATACAAAGTTTACTCTTTAAACAGGGTAGATGGCAGAATCCTTGTCTAAGTTTCTTTACCTTTTCTTCATTATCGGCTAGTATCTGCTTTGGCCTTATCTCATTTGTTTGGGTCTCCTATTGTTCCTGAACTTCATTTTAAGTAGCTTCAAATCTATTTTATATGTTGCATATATGTAAATAAACCAATAAAATGGAAATATTTTTTCTTTAAGTACTTCTGCTATTCATGCATCTATAAAACATTCTTTAACACTGTTACTAAAAAACCAAGATATAACATTATTATCATAATAACATAAAAAATTTAGTAACTGTATAAAGGAATATTAAAAATTAGATACAAATATTATCACTATCATATGTTCTATTCATACACATTGTTATAATACACCTGTAACTTATAAGTATAATCACAAAGTAACCTTTGCTAATCATCTTAAAGAGATATATAAGCAATGAGTCAATATGATTATCATCCCTTTGTAACATTATCATGTTTATTACTATATCATGTTTATTACTATACATGTTTTTACACTTAAGGACATAAATCTGTAAACTGCCTCTAGAAGACAAACTTACAAGAAGACATTGTGCAGAAACTCATTTGAGAATGTGTTTCCCCTTAGGGCATCAAACAATCAAAATCTCAGTGGCAACCAAACCATGTTTGTTTTTCTGAATTCACATTACAGAGAAACTTAACATTCCTCAGCAGCTATAACACACTGGCCACATGTCATGTCCTTTACTTCTTTCTCCTTTTAGGGGGCAAGCGGGAAGAATGAGCGCCACTTACCTCTCCTAGAGGTAATAACTATGTCGACCAGGTTACTGTCCACAGTCATGTGTATCAACATGGCATTACTGACCTCATTTAGCACTGTAGTAGCATTAATAACAAACACTTTTTATCAAAAAGAGATAAAGCAAAAGGATTCTGGGTAATGGGTGAGCCAGCTATTAACATCTCTCATTATTATGGTATAACTGTTGAAATTAATAATACAAATCATATTAGTATTACTAAACTCCAGACTTTATTCAGAGTTCACTAATTTTTCCACTAATGTCCTTTTTCTGTTGCATGATCCCATCCAGGATACCACATTGCATTTAGCTTGCTAATATTTTTAATCAGACTTCTCTTTCTCTAAGTCTATGAAATCAATAAAGCTCCAATTCTTTCCTACTTGCCTTTAATAAATTGTCACTGTGTGAAAGGAGAGGGCCAGCACTCAAGGGGAAGGAAAGTAGGGCTAGAATGATTTGCTCCAGCTACCCCATCTCCCTTTATACATTAATAAAAAATCAGTGGGCGGGGGGAGACTGAAATAAATAAGGGAGATGTGCTCTGATTTATTTATCATCATGACTTTTTACTTTTTCAGGATTTTCCAAGTGCTCTAAGGTAGCTTTAGATCTACTCTGAAGTGCAATTAAGGTTCCCAAAGTAAATCCAGTGTCCCTAGACGTTCTCCTCTTCTCTGAACACAGACTCTGCAATCTGTAAAAGCTTCCGATAAATAGTCATTCATGCAGGAATGAAGAAGGTCATACCTGTCCTCGATATTCTTACATCTTCCTTTTCCATGTTACTTTCCCTGCACTGCTCCAAAATCCCCAAGCCAGTGGCATCTGGTGATCTCTGTTTTAACAACTCGCCCCTGTGTGTGCTCTCCTGAAGTAGCACATGTCTCACGCTTACAGCCTCTTCGCAACTCAACATAACTTTTTCCTCCAAATAGATATTGTTCAGATTAACATCAACTCAAGCCAAATCAAAGCATGTACGCCTATGTTGGGATATTTCTGGCTAACAATATTACAATGACTTGATATATTTTAATAACAAGGACTTGGGGGGCCCTACTAGAGTCCTGAGTTAATGAAAATTCGAATCAAATATCAGGTATGCCAGGGAGGTCAAAATTCAGGCAACCCAAAGCCTCTTCGCAACTCAACATATACTTATTAATGTAGAAGGTCTTGAGTTCGGAGACCTGCAGTCTCTGCACGGTATTCATTGGAAGGCAGGTTGTCATACCAATTTACACAAGCAAGACTTACTTCTATATAGATATAGTGCTTGCTGTTCTCTATCACATGGACATAAGCAGTGTGGATGGAGCCTTCACAGTACTTTATACCAGCAGACCAATCAGCAGCAGAGCGGAGTAACTGCAAGGCAGCAAACAGAAATGAGCAAAGATAAGACAATGAAGATGACACCAGATATATTAATATAATGAAATCTATCCTTTTTTTCTTTAAAACAACTGAATGATTATAGTGGCGTGAGTGTCACATGTGGGCCAAGGGAGAACAGGTAGGTAGGGATCTGGTCCTTGGACATAATCCATACTGAATGAGCCCAGCTGGAAATCAAGTCCTGACTATGCCCTCTTCCATGCAGTGTAATTTTCATTCAAAATTACCATAAGGTGATAGAAACCATAAGGTGTTTCTATCAGGAGTACTTCAGAAGTATCTCTTCTGGTGGCTATGAGTAGGGTAACCATGTGGACTCTCTTCATGATAGTTCCACAGTTACACCCAATGACTTGTTCTGGTGTGTTTATTACTAGTACTACTTTTACTGCTCAAAGTGTCCAGGTATGAACTACATGATATGGCCACCCTAGCTCTGACTTGATAACATGATTGTTCTTTTTCCTCCAAATAGATATTGTTCAGATTAACATATTCTAAAAGACAAATAGATTCATTTAGTCATCTAATATTGATTCCGCCTGTCTAATCCTCAGCATGTCACTTCAACTCTCAATTGTCTCACTCATACTGCCTCTCTCTATTCATACACTCACCTGCTCCCACCTGGATTAGAGTAACAGCTTCCAGCTCAGATACCTGAGTATATGTTAAATATGCTAACACAGAACTGGACTGTCTAAACTTAACCACTTAGTGACTTTGATCTTGGTCAAGTTTTTTAACCTCTTTGTACCTCAGATTTCTCTCTATAAAATGGAGTATCTATCCTATAAGGCTGTAGAGAGGACTCAATAATTACTGTGGACTGTGCAGGAGGTCTAGAACCTAGTAAATGCTATATAAGTGTTTGCTATTATTGAGAACATTAGAGGATGCGTTTGAGTGGTGGCAGATCATGTCAGCAACACTGCCGAGCAGACTATATCTGTACACAGGAGGAGGAACTAGATGACATGGAAAACTTTTTCAACACTAAGAAACCATTGGCTGTAATTTTCTTCAGCATTCTAACCAGCATTACAATAACATGCGGGGCATATAGTAGGTGCTCAATAAACACTTATTAAATGACTTTCCTTAAGTAATAGCAAGACATCACATGAGAATCACTATAAAAATAGATTTGCTATTCCTGACTTGAAATGAATGTTGAAGCTGTTCTTCATGAGGTCAACAGAATTTGAAGATAAAAGAATGGTCCATACATATTAGGAATATACAAAGTGATCCAATACATAATCAGTTTTATGCCTGTTATATATAAAAGATCTGGTATAATTCTGGCTCTAATCGATAACTTAAAAATTGCATATAAGGCTACTGAAATTCAAACTTAACACTAAAATCATTGATTGTGTCATCCTCAAAATGTTATTTCTTTATTCAGCATAAGGTATTTATTACAACATCGCTCCTCTCAAAGCATTTTATTTACTTTTATCAGATGAATATGTGCAGCGAAATTGGAAATTTTAATTGTGAATACGAATAGTCAAGTGTCTCAGAAAAAAACTCATAAGGAAAGTTTAGATAAATATGAGCAATACTGGGAAAAAATATTGATTTCACATCATGTCCAAAGAACTGCATTATTATTCATTAGTAGAAATAACAAAGGTTGAACAAATAGAAGGTTTAATTTGTAGTCCAGGTTAATGCTGAATTTTGTTGCTAAGGTACACAGCCCTGAAAACGCAGATTACCTTGAAAAGATCCTTATACCACACATACTGATCTACTCTTATATAACTCTGGATACAATGCATAAAATTGCAGAGTGTGCGGAAAAGATAGGAACTCTTGAGATCCGTGTTATAGTAAGTCATAGCACATACTAGCTCTTTTACCTTGAACAAGTAATTTTAATGTCAGGCTCAGTTTCCTCCACTGTATAACTGAGATCTCTTCCAGCCTGCCTGCCTGCTTGTCTGCCCCACTCCCACCCCCATACAGATGCTATGAAGAAAAAAATGGCATAACAAACACAAAGAGCTATGATATGTGGCACTTAGGAGGTGTTTGATATATGGGTATCTACCTCTGCAAAAGTTATAGGCAAAGTTTATATATCACCTCGGTGGTAATTTTTTAGTCTTCTCCTCAGATCCAGAAACCATATACTTCCTTTCCTTTCTCACTCTCAAAATTTGTGGTGACTCAAAGGTTTAATAAACTTACTCACATTAGATATAAATGAGGGTTTTAAAATAGGTTTTAACTTGTAAGTCAAGTTCAATTGATTAGAAGTGGCATCCTGCACAGCTAGCTCTGTTGTAGAGATTATTGGAACTAGACACACTGGATTAGAAACTAAGATTGATGTCCAATGGTTGCCTTGACAGAGAAAGCATGAAGGTCATATATTTGCCATCTTTCCTGTATAACAGTAAATGTTTTTCTTTACAGAGGCATTTAAAAATTTAAAGTACATTTGTAAGCCAAAAGAAAAACATGTTATTATAAGCCTGTGGGAGAGCATAAGCCAAGGGGACAGGAGCCCTCCCTTCCCCATGATGCCTGTAAAACCATAGACTGTGGGAGGTTGCCTACATCCGAAGGGGAATGGACATTATCTATCTCACTGTCTGAGTCTAAACCTATATCGCTTTCTCACAATGAAAACTTACGTTATTTTAAAAGTCATCATTTTTGATTAACCTTGAACATTATCTTTCAAGTAATACAGAAAAAATCACTTAGGATTATTATTCATTTACTATTATTCTAATTATTTTAAATCTATCAACATAATTAAAAATATAAATTTGCCT